TGGGCATTGAGGAGGGCACCTGTTGGGATGAGCACTGGTTGTTGTATGGAAACCAACTTGACAATAAATTTAATATTAAAAAAAAAAAAAAACAAAAAACCAGGAGTAGAAATACCAGTCCATGCTGATGTGGATTGTCAACCTGCATACTTAAATAAAAGCACCTTGTTCTTTTTTTTTTTTTTTTTTAACGTTTATTTATTTTTGAGACAGAGAGAGACAGAGCATGAACAGGGGAGGGGCGGAGAGAGAGGGAGACACAGAATCCAAAACAGCCTCCAGACTCTGAGCTGTCAGCACAGAGCCTGACGCGGGGCTTGAACTCACGGACGATCATGACCTGAGCCAAAGTCAGATGCTTAACTGATCGAGCCACCCAGGCGCCCCAAAAGCACCTTGTTTTTCACATACCATAGCTATAAAGCATCTACTGTCTATAAAGAAATAAACACATAAGTACCCATGCAAAAATTAGCTATATTTTTTGAGAAGTATGTTCATTTGCTTCTATTGTACTACATTTAAATAGTTAATTCTTCATTATATAATATTATTTGGAATGATGCATTTTGGCATCAAGTTCTAAATACTCCTTTAAGCAACAATGTGTAATAAATGTTTTCTATTCCTGGGGTGCCTAGCTGGCTCAGTTGGAAGAGCATGGGACTCTTAATTTCAGGGTTGTGAGTTCAAGCCCTTTGCTGGGGGTATAGATTACTTAAATAAAAACAAACAAATGTCTTATACTCCTATTTTATTTTTGTTATTAATTTTTTTTTAATGTTTACTTATTCTCAAGAGAGAGACAGAAACAGTGTGAGCGGGGGAGGGTCAGAGAGAGAGGGAGACACAGAATCTGAAGCAGACTCCAGGCTCTGAGCTGTCAGCACAGAGCCTGATGCAGGGCTCGAACTCACACAGTGAGGTCCTGACCTGAGCCGAAGTCAGACGGTTAACTGACTGAGCCACCCAGGTGCCCCTTATACTCCTATTTTAAACAGACTAATGAGTACAGTGTCACATTTTTTCTAAAGTTTATTTATTTTGAGAGAGGGAGAGAGCAAGAGCGGGGCAGGGGCAGAGAGAGGGAGAGAATCCCAAGCAGGCTCTGCACTCTCAGTGCAGAGCCCAACGTTGGGACTGAGCCCACGAACTGGGAGATCATGACCTGAGCTGAAACCAAGAGTCAGAGGCTTAACTGACTGAGACACCCAGGCACCCCACAGTGTCCTATTTTCTTGATGACCTTGATTTACTTTGCAAGCATGCAGCATAATATAGCTTCCTTTGATAAGGCCTTATGTAGGGCTGACGGTTTCCTGCTATGCCCTTCTAGCATGTTATTTTGCTGTTGCACTTCAGATTTGTTGAAAGCACCCTGACCTCCCACTCTTGCTTTTATAATGGCTTCTGCATTCATGTATTTCTGGGCAATAAAGAAGACTGTAAGGAGAAATTCATAACCAAGCTTATTATAAAGTCAATAAATAGCCATTTTACAGAAGTTGTTGGGTTCATGTATATAATATATGGGCTATAACCACTACATATCAACATTCAAGGCCTTTTATTTTTTCTGTCTTTGTTCTCATCTTCTGAGTTCTCATTTCTCACTTTAGAGTTTTCATAATAAACCTATGTGTTATCAGTCAAGGTCCTGTCTCTTTCTTTAGTAATACCAGCATTCCCAGAGAAGAAAAAGAATTCTCAATTTGAAGGGGTAGCAAAATTTTG